TGGACATCAAAATTTTTCTATATAAATGATAGGCACATGTGAGATTTATGCATTTTTAATGAACCAATTCATTAATTTTATATAGAAAAATGTAAATATAAAGTAATAGAAATATATTTATAATATAAATATAAAAAATATAAACTAGAAAAATTCTATATTATAAATATAAAATTTCTCTGTAATATAGAGGAAAATGTATCAAATTGAAATATTAGAAAGCTATGCCCATATTTCCTTCAGTAATTTTCATAATTTTTCTCAAACTGAATGTGTTTTCTAAGAAAAAAGTTAATTAGAGCACATTGAGGTTATAAAATATGTCTAAGAGCAGAATATTATCTCCAGGAGTGGTAGCTATGTAATCTTTTCTTTATTTTTAAACAAATACTCCAACCAGAAAGTTATTTGTTTTTTAAAAAAGATGGTAAGGATCTTTGTTGTGTCTACCGTTTACTACCGTAAATTCTTTCTTGTGACTGCTGTAAATGCTTATCGTTACTTTTTTCCCTTCTTTCCTCCTAAGACCTCCTAAGTATAAGAAAAGAAATCACTGCACATTTTAATCAAACTGTATTTATCAGTTGAGGATTTTCCATTCACGTGTACAGTTACTGGTAGAAGATAGTGCTGCAAACTGTCTTTCTGCTGCCTGCATTCAAGCTCTTCCCCTGTGGCAATGCAAGACAACTTGAAGCCCCTCTTCCTGAAAGAGTGATGTGTAACCTTCCATCTACTGGCAGTTGGATGATGAACTGTTGTGTCAGCAGTTGCATGGCAACTCTGCATGTGCATATACTTATCCTATGGTAAATGCTTGTCTGTGTTTTTTGGAGGGGAAAGTTTATGAAATAGACCTGGCAAAAATGTTCATACCATTGAATGAAATATTGACGTGTAGTAACTTCTTACCCTTGTGTTAAAAATGTTTTTTTATATGGAAGGACTTCAGGTTAAAGACGGATTTCTTTTTAAGTAGTTCTTCTCAAACTGTTTAAAATGTGTGTGCATATGTTTGCTATCTTTTGGGAAGAAGGGCTTCTAGAGTAGAGTAATCTCCAGGCCTGCTCAGTTTGTGTCCTGGGGAAAAGCTGTCCCTTACTGTGGGAGGTGGGGAACCAGGAAGCTTTCAGAGTGTAGTGTGTGACTGGAAATGAAGGATTCATCTTGGTGTGGATGGAAGATAAAACCAGTGGTTTGATCAATTGCTTAGTGAAGGAAGGAAGGAAAATTCAGGGCAAGTAGAGAAGTCCTTCAGCCCAACAGCTGTTGTTGGCTTTGGTGGCTTTGCAAATCGATTGCTTGTAGGGGTGCTGTTGGTGTTTTTCCCCTCATCTTTATTCATATTGTGCCTTGTAATACTGCATGTGTCCAAAACCACAGAAGTAGGACCTGAACTCCCAGCTTTGTCCGCAGCCACGTAATGCTCCTGGTGTTGCCTTGGTCAAGTGATGTATGGAGAATGTAGCATTTTGTCTTAACTGTTTTAATCTGTCTGCTAGATTCTGTGTCACTATTAATTAGCTGGTAGTGTCCAGGAGCATATGGTTCGTCTCCTGTGGATTGTCTGACCAATTACTTTTCTTCAGATATGAGATTTTTCTGTAGATACCAGCATGGGGCTTTTGCAAGAAGTTTATAACAAGATCTGTCAATGGATTTCATGGAAGGGATGGGCTGAACATTCATGCTTCATTATTAAGGAAAAATAGGTTTTACCATGAGGAATTTAAGGAGTAAGTAAATTCATCTGATTTCTTAAAGTTTTTTAAAAAAATTTCCTAAATCAGTCATATTGTGATACATCTGTCAGGCAATGTCTTTCAGCTCAAAGAGTGACTGTAGAGAACTTGTTGGATATGTTTGTGGGCAAGGTCTCAAAATTGTGTTTTCAAGCTGACGTTGGTGTTAGAGTGGAGGAGGTCTGAGATATGCCAGACCTTAGAGCAGAGGTGTAGAATTCCAGCCAGAAAACTCGAGAGGTGAAGTTCAGAATCAGCGCATTGAGAGAAGGGTGTTAAGGTTTATAAAATGGTACAGTTTGTTAAACAGTAGACAAACCCCTGATTTTTAGAGATTCTATTTTTATGTGGAATAAAAGGTAAATCTGTGCTGACTGAGGCAATAGTCTTGTTTGGTAGACTGGTTCTAATAAACAGTTCTTGAACCATACGCTGAAAGTAAAATGTTTTAACATTTGTCTTGAATTGACAAGGTTTTTGTTCTGTTTCACAACCTATTTCAGATTCTTTGTGAAAGCTGTTGGTGCAAATTGAAAATATTTTCAAGAAATGTGTAGAAAGAAAATATGAATAAATTACAAGCATTAAGTACACTTAGTCTTTTTACTAGTTAAACTTCTGTTATGAGCAAGAGTTCTAGATTATGGTGAAGTATTTCCACTTAAAAAAAAAAAAGTAAAATAGATTTAAAACCTTGTGAAGGTGAATGTCAGAAGTAGTAGTAAAGGTGTTGCTGTCTTTTAGAAGTCGGATCTTGTCATTGCAAAGCTATTAATATCTATAAAGAATTTTAGTGAAGAATATGCTGATGGCTTACTTTGTAGAACTGTATTTCCTCTCCTAAGTGTAATCCTTTATGGAATTAAGTAGCCATATCTATGAAGGAAATACTGCTTTCAGTACTATTTCATCAGAGTGATTTGAATTTGTATTTTGCATACAATTAGTTCATTACTTCCATATTTCTGAAAATGCAACAGAAAAAAATTATTTCACAATAGTGAAATTCTAAATATTCTGTTTGTAAGAGGATTGAACAAAACTGCATGTATTTATGTTTTCTATTATTTTGATTGAAAAATAATGCTGTGTTCTTGAATATAAATACACTGAAAGACTCAAAAGTTCAGGACACAGTCTGTTTTCTCCTTCTGTTACTGTCTGTTGGAGTTAGGATGTGATAGAGCGAGCAGGGACTCCACAAACTGATCTTGTGTGGGGTCTACCAGGGATTCATTAGGTGGAAACAACAGTTTAAATTGGATTTTCCAATAGGGGAAGGACAGCATTTCTTACAATGAAACTGCAGTTACATAAAAGTCTTGTACCTTTGCAGCAGTACCTGAGTACTCAGCTTGCTTTTCAGAGGTATAACTAATACGATCAAACAACTTGTGTTTCAGCGTACTTTGTAGGTATTTTTCGAGAATGTTCAGTGGTTCAGGGCTAAATACATAGATGGGAGATAGCATAATAAATGGTGAGTTGGAGTGAAATAGTCCCATGTGTCATTACTTAGCTGCCCAGCCTGCCAATATGCTTTTAACTTTCTGATCTAGTAGTGAACAAGGAGTCGTTGTGTTACTGTGTCCCCCTATGATACAGGTGAAAATTTGAATTGATTTTACGTGTTTGCAGTTACCACAAGTGTGGAAATGATGCATTTGTGCATTTTGATGTGTGAAAATATTTAATAAAGAAATGGTAATGTGTTGCAAATAGTCAGCTTTTCTGTACATGACACACTCTGTCTTTGAGGGTCATGAATTAATAATTACCAGTGTATAGAGAGAAAATTATTTACCGAATTTTAGAATAGAATAGAATAGAACATTTTTCAGTTGGAAGGGACCTACAATGATTATCTAGTCCAACTGTCTGACCAATTCAGGGCTGACCAAAACTTATAGTATATCATTAAGGGCATTGTCCAGATGCCTCTCAAACACTGAGAGGTTTGGGGTATTGACCACCTCCCTAGGAAGCCTGTTCCAGTGTTTGACTACCCTTTCAGTAAATAAATGCTTCCTAATGTCTAGTCTAAACCTCCCCTGGCACAGCTTTGAACCATTCCCACACATCCTGTCACTCGATACCAGAGAGAAGAGCTCAGCACCTCCCTCTCCCTTCCCCTTCTCAGGAAGCTGCAGAGAGCAATGAGATCACTCCTCAGCCTCCTTTTCTCCAAGCTAGACAAGCCCAAAGTCCTCAGCTGCTCCTCACAGGACATGCCTTCCAGCCCTTTCACCAGCTTTGTTGCCCTCCTCTGGACACATTCAAGGACCTTCACATCCTTCTTAAATTGTGGGGCCCAGAACTGCACACAGTATTCAACGTGAGGCCACACAAATGCTGAATACAGTGGGATAATCACCTCCTTTGACTGGCTGGTTATGCTGTGTTTGTTGCACCCCAGGATGGGGTTTGCCCTCATGGCTGCCGGGGCACACTGCTGACTCATCTTGAGCCTGCTGTCAACCAGCACCCCCAGATCCCTTTCTGCAGGGCTGCTCTCCAGCCACTCCTCTCCCAGTTTATCCTTGTGCCTGGCATTACTCTGTCCTAGGTACAGGATCTGGCATTTGGACTTGTTAAATTTCATCCCATTAATCATAACCCAATGCTCCAGTCTATCTAGATCCCTCTGCAAGGCCTCCTGTCTCTCAAGAAAGTCAACAGCACCTCCCAGTTTGGTATCATCAGCAAACATGCTAATGGTGCATTCAACTCCTGCATCCAGATCATTGATAAATATATTGAACAAAACTGGACCTAGAATTGAACCCTGGTGAACACTGCTGGTGACCAGATTTTGGCTGTAAACTCCAACTAAATGCTCTGTAATCAGTTATTTCAATCTAGTTGATGGATTATTTTTTTAGAAATACATAATTAGGTTTTGTCTAGTTATATCAGTTTGCTTCTTGCTTAGCTGAACTGTTATCATTGAGTCATTTTTATCAAGTACTTCTGCTAGCACTGGATCACAAGAAATGGTCAAATTAGCTAAAGGGTAAATGTCAAGTATCAAGCTCTCTTCTGTAAAGCAGACTTTTAAATTCTGATGAAGGTTTCTGTTCTTTTTCATTCTCATGTACACGTTCTTTTTTTTTTTTCACTGTGGATATTGGGAGACCCTAACAGATAATACAATTAATTTATTCTTAACTGCTCCTTGTTGGATTGCTACAATGTTGTTGTTACTTAAAATTTGTTTTATAACAATTTTTTTTTTCCCCCATTTTCTTCCTATTTTTCAGATTATGGCACAGGCTCAAGGTTTGGGGAAGAGATACATTAAAGCCTTTTTTAAAGGTTTCTTTGTTGCTGTTCCGGTAACTGTGACTTTCCTGGATAGAGTTGCCTGTGTAGCAAGGGTGGAAGGAGCATCAATGCAGGTATTGTTGGAAATATCTTTTGTGTGTCAGGAAATTAAAAAGTGACTGTCCACTGACAATAGCAAGGTGGAAAAAAATCTTTTTCTCAATTGTTATTAAATGACCACATTGTAGTATAGAATAGTTTAATTTCAACTTTGTTAAACAAATACCTTTTTGATGTGAGAAGAAAAGCTTTTGAGAACAAAACGTGCCAAAATTCTGTCTTGGTAAAAGGAAAATATATAGATAAGTAGTGATAAAGATTTTATATATATATATATCATCTCAGTCATTTAGAAATAAAGATTTCTTTTTTTGAGCACTACCTTTTGTCTCTTGGGATTGAATTGATGACTCACAAAGAGGCTTTATTAGTTTTTAGTAGCTGTATTATAGGAATTGTAAGGCAAAACTGGTTCTTGCTGTACTTGCTCTTACTAATGAACAAGTATGGCACCATTTCAGTGAAGAATACTGAAAATGGCATGAACCCAATACTAATACCTATGCTTACCAAGACATAAGTATCAGTTCACTGATTTTACTTTGGTTATACTGAAGGTGTATACAGTGTAAGCAAAATAATATAAATCAGCTGTGTAACATTTAGAAGAGAAATACTCATGATAGTCAACAGCTACTTTGTTTCCTCTGCTATTGGGACTTGAAAAACATATGTTGTAATGTAGTTAGCCAATTTTTGTATTGTTACTTTGCATTTGAAATCATATGCACTGCCTATTGCTGTGCATCACCACTGATAACTATAATTTATTCTGTTCCAAATTGCAACATTCCAATTAGCAGAGACTAGGGATTTGATTCTTGGATGCCAAGCCCTCTTTTCTGATTATCTGAGTAAGCTCAGAACCTTGAAGAGAGGTTTCACAGCAATCAAGATCAGCTGCTGGAGTTTGATTTGTGCAGCATTCATCCAGACAAAACTTGGGCTAGAACCTGGGCTTGTCTGATTTGTGTTTTACACTATAGAAGAGTATGGGGTGGGGAGGAGGGAATGGCAAGGTGGCATTGTGCTTTTTGTGTCAGTCTGTAATCTGATGTTTAACCTCTGTCAAGAAACCTCAGCTGTTCTAGAAGGCAGCTCTCACTTCAAGAACAGGGACCAAAGTAAAATCATTGTACTCCAGTAATTCTAGAATCCAAGACCAGAAGTTAAGTGTAACATAAGTTACCTTTGCCCTTTTCATGAATGTTATTCTGAATATTATTGATGACCCACCAAAGGTAGAAGAATCTCAGGGCGTGCGGTTGCGGAGCCAGAAATTTGCTCTAGAAAGGAAGAGAGGAGTGGGAAGCTGGGAAAAACATTTGCATTCTCTTTTTACTATCTTCAGACAGGAGAAATTCAAATACATAACACAGCATTTATGTAAAAACAAAAGCAGCCAGACAAATACAACTCACCCATTTTCCATCTTCCCATTTTTTGTCTCTGTTGGGATCTAGAGCCACATGCAGCATTCAAGATATAGAAGCATCTTGAATTTTGTGGTTTTGGTGTGTTGTTTGGTTTTTTGTTTGTTTGTTTTTCTGCTAACGAGCATGACCTGAGCATTTAATTTTCGAGGGGTGGTTTTTTTAGCCTTTCATTGTTTGGTCTTTTCGGTCTCTGACGTAATGTTCTGTTTGACACCCATTCTTGTTTGGATGGTTTTACCTCAGTAGCTGGAAGGAAATTTTCTAGATTTCCCTACTCCACAAGTCTATTGAGGCCCTCTGGTCAAGACCTCAGTTTTATGTTTCCTTTGAAGTCAAAGCCTCAAGTGTTAGGGAGTGCTCTGGTATTATTCTGCAGTGTTGCTTCTGTACTCACTTGAAGGGCATATAGTTAACTGTGGTTTATCCATGGAAGATTTGAAAAACAGTACAGTTATTTGCTCAGATTTATTCAACCTGACAAAGAAAGATATGCACTCTTTGTAGTGGCTAGGGAAAGCAATATATATTTAGTGGGTGATTAAAATCTAAGCTCTTCCCTTAATATGTCTGTTGACTAAACATTCTCCCAGTTGATTGGGTAGCTTGAAGGCTGACATTTCTAATTTTACTGACATCTCGGTGTCTGTAAAATTCTCTCTCTGGTTTTATTTTGGACTGTAGCACTGAAATAGAAGTTTGTTTTAAACTTCTATGCCTATGGATGTTTTTCAGACTACAAAAAAAACTTCCTAGTTCTTCTAATAAGATACTAATTTCCTTGCCAAGATTTATTAGGCACCTAACTAAGTCTGACAGGGACATAATTATAAGGAATATATCCCTCTCTTGCAGAGTAGCTTGAAGGAGCACTGGTCATTGCGTTGCAATTCCATCTATTTACTGTGTTGTCTGAAGAGTGATCTACGTTGAATGTATCTGAAAGCTTTGGGTATGAGGGAGAGTGAAGTTCAGTCAGCATGTAGTCATATATCCATCAATCACATGCTTCCAATGACATCTTATTTTCTCAATTTGAAGATATCATGGTATGATTCCCAAGACTTTGTTTGTAATAGACATCTAAAACATCTAGCTGGCTTTGTGTACTCATCATTGTGGCTCCTGCTGAGCCTTGTCATGGTTTAGCCCCAGCTGGCAACTAAACCCCACACAGCCACTTGCTCATGCCCTCCTGGTGGGATGGGGGAGAGAATCAGAAGGGTAAAAGTGAGAAAACTCATGGGTTGAGATAAAGACAGTTTCATACGTAAAGCAAAAGCCGTGCATGCAAGCAAAGCAAAACAAGGAATTCATTCACTACTTCCCATCGTTCAGGCAGGTGTTTCCAGGAAAGCAGGGCTCCATCACGTGTAACGGTTACTTGGGAAAACAAACGCCATCACTCTGAACATCCCGTCTCTTCCTCCTTCTTCCCCCAGCTTTATATGCTGAGCATGACGTCACATGGTATGGAACGGAACATCCCTCACTTGGGGTCAGCTGTCCTGGCTGTGTCCTCTCCCACCTTCTGTGCACCCCCAGCCCACTCGCTGGTGGGGTGGTGTGAGAAGCAGAAAAGGCCTTGACTCTGTGTAAGCCCTGCTCAGCAATAATGAAAACATCCTTGTATTATCAACACTGTTTTCAGCTCAAATCCAAACCATAGCCCCATACTAGCTACTGTGAAGAAAATTAACTCTGTCCCAGCCAAAACGGGCACAAGCCTGAAAGTAAAAGTTCTGACAAGAAACAAGGAATAAATCTCTCTGTGTCATGCTCGCTCTCCTACTCTTACTCTCTGTTGCACTCTCTCTCTCTCTCTCTCTCTCTCTCTCCCCTGCTCCCCACTTTCTGTTTTTGTTTTGGACCAGCCTTACTGCTGCTTTATGGTTTCTGATGATAGTAATACTTTTTGACACCCTGGCAAGCACGCTGCATAAAGGTTCCAATGAAAATACAAATTTTCTGATTTATTCCCAGTCAATTAATACAGATTTCATGCATTTAATTGTCTCAAGCTGATTTTGTGTTTCTACAGTGCTTTCAGCCACCTGTCATAATTCTTTCATGTGCGCTGACTTCAGTGTGCGTGAGTATTAACTCTAACTTATAGGGAATAACAGTGAACTATTGCAGTTTATAATTTTAACATCTTTTTAATTGCTTCATTACCTTCTTTTTTCTTTCCAAAATTACTGTTTTTTGAATCCTTACAGGAGATGTTTTTTGTTGCTTAGGATTTTACAGATTGATGTGCTCATCTAGCATTTTGTTAATAGTGCATTTCAAGTGAGTAGTAATCTGTTTACAACATTGAATGTAAGTGACACAAATAACTGGTAATATGATTTCTTACTTGGCTGTTGTGTATTTTTTGTGACTTGTCTTGTAATGCTGGATGTATACTTTAACACGTTTGCTATCATATGGACATCTTTTTCACATCTTGATATCCATTTATGTTTTTTTTTTTCTATTGAGTTTCAGTGCTTGTCTGGTGTTAGGAACTCTTCATACATAATGATGTGGAAAAGGGAACCCCCCCTGGATATTTAAATTTGTGAATTCATTAAACCAAATGGACTGTTTTCAAGTGAGATGGAAGATGACAGCATATGTGCAACTTTATATGCAAGTTCTGTCACAAACGGTTCAATACCAAGGATTATAGCAAGTAGCCTGACCAGCAATCTCTGATGAAGCACACTTGTTTCAGCAGCAAACATTATTGAATATTCTATTCCATTATGCATAATAGCAGTTCTAATTATTATGTGGCAGTTTCTCCTAACTTTATTATTAGGATTACTGTACCTAAGCTTGTGAGCTCATGTGAATATTCTTTCTGTTCCCCAATCTATAAGCAAATAAGTTGTTACCTTCTGGTATTCACTAGCAGCATAACAACTATCAAGTTAATCATTATTTGTAGTAAAAGGGCATGGTTTTACCTTTCTACTTATGGAACTTCATGTCCTGTGAGGCTTCATCATATGGCTGGGGATCTCAATTTGCATGCTTTTAGCGTTAGATTAGTTAGTAATTGGAAAGAGTTCTAAATTAAGGCCCGTGTGTCTCATTTGTAGCGGGCTATTATGCTGAGAACTTGGACAAACAAGTTATAATGCTTCAAGCTAGAGGAAGGAAGAAGCCCCTGCATTATTTTGTTTCTTAAAAAAATAAAGAGCCCTTGTGAACCTATTTGTTGACTACTTTTTCAGAAGCTGTATTTTTGTTTCACTAGACCTGAGACCTTACTACTAGTAAAAATGTCATGGGGAATAAGTTGTCTCTGAACACACTGCATTAAACTCTTTCTATGCTTTTTGTTGTGGAATCACAATTTATTTATTTTATTTATGTTAGAGAAAGACTTGCTGTGAAGGATTTAGATGATTTTTTTTACGGAAAACTGTAGTTGATGTAAAATGAAAGTTGTCTCCTTCTAGTTTTCCTTACATTTCTTCTACCAAAATAATATTTTTGTCTGTGCATTTTGAATATGTCAGGTTGTTTTGTGGGAAAGAAAAAAAATATTCTGCACTGTCATATTTCTCTCAAACATAATTCTAATATATAATGAGTTGGATATCCACTCTGTATGTCAAAACCACATGAGCAATGTATTGTTTAAAATAGCAAGCAGTATGGTATTACATTTAGATTGCTTTAAGTTAACAAGATTATGTAATATCTAAATGTATTTAAACTCTAAAGCATTTCCTTGGTTTAAATACAGAAAACAGTAGGAGTCAACTGGGATAATGCAACTAGGGCAATACTGTAATTATCTGGTGTATTTCTCTGTAAGATGAAGTTGATATAGATTTAGTTGTGAGGAAAAGTTTGTGAACACTCATGTAAATCTTTTCTAAGTATCAGCTGTGAAATACATTATCTCTTGTCGCAATGGGTTTAAAATTTCCATTTGTTTTGACCTTCTCTGTTGGCCCTTTGAGGTAGATACTTTTTGAGTACCAAGCAGTTTACTTTGTGAGAATATACCATATGTATGATTCCCGCTTTCTAAGATCTGCTTCTTCGCCTAATGTCTAGTACCATTCTTAGCTTCTGGCCGATATGTGCCTGCATTTGGTAAAAGGAGTGTGACTGTGAATTGTTTGTGAATCTGTATGTAAAGAATTTGTATGTAAAGATACTATCCTTTGGTGGAAGATGCTATGAAGGTGGAAAATCATTCTGGAAAATCCTGATTAAAAAAATAATAATCAGATATCTGCTCATTAGCTTTTAGTTTTCATTTATCTGGGTCTTGCAGTGCATAGACTCTAGGAAATAAAATAACGATGAGTGTTAATGTACTTACAGCTTAGACTTGGACCATATTTCTGTGGATTTTAATGTGATCTGCTTTGATCTGCAGACTTACTTGACTAGAAATTTGCCCTATAATCCACAGCTCAAAGCGTAACTAGCCTCATTTGCTGTTTACCTAAACATATTTATTTATGTTTATTTATTTATGTTTATTATTTATTCTTTTGAACTATTGTCTTCTGTACTGTTCATGTGAATTACACCTACTCAGGACCCCAGCACATTACTTCTTGTTGCACGTTAAAAAGCTAGTTTTTTCACAAGTTCCGTTTGAAAAAGGTCTTTATCAACTGATCTGGTTAGCAAAGAAAAGGTGATTGAGGAAACTGGAGCAAAGACAAGTCAGCACTTCTAAATAGCTTTTAAAGTTAAAAATGAATACTAACTATCCATCCTGGTTTGAGAGCATAGTTTTACTGAATAAAAATACAATTAAATTTAACACTGTGTAATTACTTGTGTTGAGAACAGTTGATTTCAGTCCTACACCTGGGTTGGGTTGCTCATCAAAGGTACAGTCAGTCTGGGGAGGGGAATCTCAGAAGTGAATATCTGGTGGTACATGTGGACGGCCAAGTTATACTGTAAGGTGAACACTGAAAACCTCTCTTACAAAAAATGAAATTTTAGCAAACATTGCAGCTATCATACTGATAAATGAGGGGCTGCCTAATCTCAATATTCTGCTTTATTAAATATGTAACCTAACTCTAGAGTCTAAATTAGAGGTCATCTGCTGGCCAACTTGGAGATACTGTAATTGTATTTGAAGAGTCTGAAAAAGCTTATTGAGAAATAAGCTATTAAAAGACTTTAGTCTGGATTATTCTTAAATACTTTCTGTCTACTAAGAGAAGTATTTATATCGAAATAATGCCTGCAAAACCCAATGAAGACAGTACTGTGATGGGCTACTTCCTTCCGCTGCCATTTCTGATGGGTTAACTCAGAGCCAGCATTAACCAGGTACCCTGGTTTTGTACCACGTCACACAAAATAATTTTGTGTGGTTCTGTGTACCTCCTGATACGCTGTACTAATTAATTACTTGGGGTTTTTTTTTGAATGTTGAGGTTAGTGAACAGTCTCATTTCACTGTATGGTTCTGTGAGAGATCATGCTTCTTTGTATCCTGTTACAGAAGGCTCACAATTACTGGCAGTGTCAGTATATGCTGTAGGTGTGGGGTTTGTTTTTTCCCTTTGCAAAGAGTGCCGAGATTACTATTGTTACAAGTATGTATTTCATTTTTAGTGCATTATGCTTGTATAAGTAGTAAGATGCCTGCAGAAAGTTTGCTTTTTCTGGGAATTAGTGTTCTTTGTTCTCCTTTGTTTTTAATATTAAATGATATACAGTAATGGCAATCACTTCTTTTCATCAGGCTTGTCATAAGTATGTATCCTGTGTAATTTAATTTGCATGCAGTAGTGCGTTGAAAGTTATGAACTGCAAGTTGCCATAAATTAATGGCATTTAACGTAGCTTTAATAAAGAAATATATTTCCCAGAATAAAACAAATTCTTGATCTTCTTATAGTAACTGGGTACATTTTACTGATTTTAATGGATTTTACCTGTTGATGGAATGAGAGCTAGGTGGAAGATTCATAAAGGAAATGTAGATCTAAAGCTGGGGTTTTTTTTTCCCCCTCTCTCAGCCTTCTTTGAATCCTGGGGGAAGAAAAGCATCTGATGTAGTGCTCTTAAACCACTGGAGCATTCGAAATTATGATGTACAACGTGGGGACATTGTGTCACTGGTGTAAGTCGTTCTGCATACATTTCCATACATGCTTATATAAATGTTGAACCATCAGTATTTAATATTTAATCTAGAATACTGTAAATATATACATGAACAAGGAACATAACATTTTTAATAATGCATTATTGTTATTCTTATTATAAGTTTTCAAAACTCAGATGTTCAAAGAATGCATTACCAAGTTTTTACTTGAAAGGAACGCAGTGTAAGATATTATGTGATACAGTATATATATGCACCAAAACTGCCAAGAAAAAAGAGCTGTGAGATAAAGAGAGAAAATAGATAAAACATTATGTGGCTTAATGGAGTATATTTTTTAAGTTGTTTGGCTATGCACTCATATTTGTGAGGAAAATAGTGTTTCTTTACCAAGTAATACTAACTGTCTTTTTTCCTGGAGAAATCTGGCTACTGAATAAAATTTTAAATAAGATCACAAGAATTTAACCATCTCCATAAAGGACAAATGTAGCAAAAAAAAAAAAAAAGTTTTACAATTGTAATGGGGAGGTCTATGTATCAAGCCAAAAGGTGGCGGTGTTTCGCTGTTGAAAATATTCAAGACTAACAGAATACAGAAACCCCATTTCAGCCTTAATGTAATATAGAAATGGAATGTCAAAGTGTGCTTAACTGACACAATGATATAATACATAGTCACACTACATGCTTGGATAGCTTAAGCTTTTAGTTTTGTAAGTGAAATGCACAATATGTAGATTGTAACAGAACTGTCTTTGGAAGCTATATTATCTGGCTTCCTTTTTGTCATGTATCTCTTCTAAAATCGTCCCATTTTTTTGCCTGCTTCTTCACTGTAATGGTAACTTGTATGACAATTTTTACTACCAGCTCTTAAAGCAAACTCTCTCATGCAGTCTTCTTTTGTTAGAAACTTAAAATTTACTTTATGGTCTGTCTTACTGTCTGGCATGTAAGATTTTCTGTAAATGGTCTAGCTACAAATATGAATTTATTCATATTTGCAACACCTAATATTGCAAAAGGACTCCAATTTCAGGTCACTTAATGACTGCTTGTAAAATTTGATTCTGCCTGTGTGTGCATCCCTCTGCCCAAGTCATGGTCTGGTGGTTGTTTAAAACAGTGAATGTAACTGATTAGTAATTAATGGACTGAACAGAAGATGAGCATGTTGTCTGATCAGAAAACACAAAGAATAGTTTCATTCTTATTATACTTCTTGAAGGTTTGTGGTACCATCTGAGCCATCTGCATTGATTGCTTTCACTTCGCTATATGTTTGAGCAAGATAAGTAATATTTTAGATGCTGTGGGTTTTTTGTATGTTTTGAGAATTTTCGTGGTTAGGTACACCCACATGGAAGAAATCACATTGTATTTATGCATTGTACTGAGGTTTTTCTTAATCTTTGGGGAAGTACACTGAATAATCAGACTAGAGAATTCAAAAAACACTTTAAGAAAGGAAGTTAAACATTGTAAAAATAATCTATTGAATAGTTTTGAGATGAAAATACTGAAGGGTATTTTATATATCAGTAACAACTTTTAAGCTGTTAAGTACTTCATGATATGGGTTTGTTAGAAGCAGCTTTGGCCTACTAACTTATTGTAATGTCAAGTTTTTAATTGTGTTGCAAAGACTTGCAGGATATAGTATCTGGATGTGATCTGGTACCCATGTGAGTTGTTTTGAGACTTACCTTTTGGTACATGAGGCTTTTATTATGTAAACGGGTGAATATTTTTATCCTTTTCATTTTGATTGTTTACCTATGATTTCTGTAAGTCACTAGTGAATAGATATCCTATGTATATGCATGAATTTTACTCGGTGGTCTTCAGGATTTGGCTGATTTAAGCAAGGCATGAACAGGGAAGGTCAGTCTCCCATTAGCTGCTGCTTTTTCTGTTCCTATCAGAAGTTCAGATGAGAAAGTGTTGGTGTGACTGAGATAGGCAGATGGGTAGGTAAACCTTCTTTCATATCCTACTTGGATGCTTAATATTTATCCCCTGTCTCCTCTTTGCCAAGTCATAGTAGAAAATAGCTATGAGGTTGTGGGAGGGTGGTCTTTTGCAGAACAAGAGCTGAGGTCAAATATTTCTTCGTGGCAGCTTGACCAGGGCCATCCAAGCTCTTTGCTTTCTTCATATCATCAGAAATACTGCATCATTCTGGATGGGTGCTGTTTCTATCGCAACTCTCAAAAGGGACTGTTGACATCCCAGCTGGGAAAGTCCAGTGTAAGTAGATGGCCAACAGCCAAACCTTGGAGCAAAGAGATGAATTAGTCTTGGTGGTCCTGGATGCCTCAAGAGAGGATCAATCAGCCTGTGATTATGCTTGTGATACTGCTTGCAGATCCAAAAGTTTCTCCTCTCTCGTCCAATCTAGTTCTTGATGAACATATATGTTTTTGTTATTTGCTGACTTTGATTACAAATGATCATCCTGTCCCCAAGCACTTGCTGGTGTTTGTGCCTGGTTAAGGTATTAAATGGAGACTGCATGTTTATGGAAACATGTGTCATGTATCACAACCACAGCTGTGAAATGAGCCACTATGTGTGCACACATCAACATAGGTTTTAGACATAATATTTAGAATGGCATTAGTCCTTAAAAGTATAAAATTAGAGTAAGATAAAATCAACGGAGGGAATAAATTGGTAGGAAATAATGATTTGTTTACTCTCAGTTTAGTGTTTTACAAATAGTTAAATCTTACCTCAGTTTTTTAGAAGATGTTTTAAGTTAACAATTTTTCTTTTAGCTTGAACTCATCCTTATTGATACCAGAATTAAGAGAGCTCAATGTTACATGTTATAACTTTTGAACTCACAATTTTAAGTTGATTCAGAACTAAGGGAAATTGATATAATCTTTAATTTGATCACTTGCTTGAGTGCCTAGATACTACTATTTTACTGGGACTTAATAAATTAAAAATCAAAACAGGATTATTTTTTCAATAAATTATTTAATTTCTATTATTACGTGTTCCAGAATACTACCTTTGCATCTCTTAAACAGATGCAAAAAAAGTGTGTTATTTTCTTTGTTTTGAAATGCTTTTATTTATCTTCAAAGAGAGAATATAGTTATGTGGCGTGTGAGGTCACCTTTGAAAGATAAATGAATGCATATTTTTGCCAGGCAGACCTTGATCTTTCAATAACTTTTGTGGTGAAACAGGCATTTTTGTTTTGGAAGAGCTCTGCTGAGGTAGATCCCAACAGTTATATAGAACTTTATCAAGTATTGCAGAATGAGTTATAGGATGCCTATGCTTCTCCCAGCTGGTTTTACTCTGTAAAGTTGGAATGCCAACAGCATTGTAGCTGTAGCAGTATGCATCACAGCGTGTGCTGCACAGCTCATGCAGGTCCTTGGGAATATATGCTGCAACGGCACTTCCTGCTACTAATGGAGATAGTGCTCTTCTGTTGAGTATTAATGGACATTTTTGCCAACTTACCTGTACATAATTTGGTTTCTACTGTGTACAAATGCAGGTGGTATTATAAAAAGATGTTGCCAAAGAGTGATTTATAACTCTAGAATTCATTTTACTTGTATCTACTGAGAACCTTATATCGTGAATGTAAAATCTTGCCCTCTTCTTATTCCAAATTTCCTGTCTTAATGTAGAAAAAAGTTGTTGCAACATGCAGAAGATTGCAAAATCAGTGTGTGTATGTAGAATGGGTATTTTATTGATATGACTAAATTTAAGTAAGCTTTTGAAATGAAGACACAACAGTATTAATTCAGACATTTAAATTTTTTCTTAGGTAAATAGAGGTTTGGACTTTGTCTTGTTCTTTACTTGGTTAATAGGTTTTTAACAAAGGAGTTAACGACGACGGCAGTATAAATAGGGTTGTTAGATTTTTCAGTGGTGATATTTCAAGGCTGTAAATATTCACAGACACTAATTTTAGCCTTTGGAGGTTATGTTACTTCTGTAATAGAGAGAACACCTTCTCCAAGGTGTGACTGAGAGCGGGAACCTACTTGCTGGGTAGTTTGCCAGGTGTCCCTCCATTTCTAATTTAGAATGTGTGCTTATATGTTAAATAAAAATAGCTATGCTAATGTAATCTGGAAAAAGATTGAGGACCAGTGCTGTTTTCTGTGCGTTCTGAATGGTAACATGATTCTAAAGTTTTGAACTATAATAGCTAAATGAAAATGGGCAGTATATTTAAAAACATGTTTTTAAAGGTCAGCTATAATAATAATGAAATAAATATTGTATATTTTGTCAGCTTCTTGTGAGTTCTTTTATAAGAGCATAATTGCTTTAAGTACAAAACCAACTTTTTACATAGAAAATACCTTGGCGTTTAAAAAAAAAAGCTTACTTCCTATCTTCTATCCTGATGAAGGACACTAAGTAGCTTCTGTCACTGCTTCCTCTGACTATAAGATTGTGTTCAGGCCTTGCAGCAAACTCCCTTACTTTTGGTAACTGCTAAGTATTTTTGTATAAAGTTATATGTGTTTGAGCTCTGAAAAATCCGGTGCAAATCAACACTCTGGAGGAAGAATTAAAGTACTGCACGTGAGGTTGTCTCTGCTGCTGTATCCCTCGCTGACATCTGTTCAGAAATGAGAATTGGGAAAGATAGTTGCCACAATGATATTATGTGATGGTTCAACAAGTTTGAGCCTATTCACACAAATCTGAATAACCCAAATTTGGCAGGAA